GTTCCCACAGAAGCCCCTGCTCCTGCCGCGGCAAAAGCAACCTCATTTGACAGTCCGCCCCCGTCTGCGGCTGTAAACGCTCCAAGCATCACTTTATCAAGCTCTCTTCGGAACGCTGCTACGTCAGCGAACGGCGGCAGCATGACAGACATGCCGCAGCAGACCCAGAAACAGCAGCAGAAGGAGCGCCTCTCCCTTTATTACAGAACGTGCAGGTCCTTCCTTTATATAATCCCTACGCGCTTTCCCCGGCCACAGCTGCTGCTGCGCTGCGGCAGCTTTAGCAATAAATCCTAGCACATATCCGAAGCGGCTGCTTTACGCCAAGCTTTCCGCAGCAGCCGCGCAGTCGTCAGCTGCCTCCTCTTCCTCGTCCTCTGGCCTCACAACCCCTTCGGGCGAGGCCGCAGCGAAAGCACCAGAGGACCTCATTACTGTGTTGCCACCCCGCACAGATTCTTCCGCTTTGTCTCCTCTGAATAGGGAGTCAGGCGGTAGGGAAGTAGCAGCGAGAGAGCAGCGACCCCAAGAGATGCGCATCTGCCGTACGTTGTTCCAGGAAAAGAACCGACTTCTGGGAGGTGCTGCTCCCGCAGCACCCTGCTGCAGTGCAGCACTTCCGCGGTTGTACAGCCAGTGCAGCGGCTACAGCTCTCCGCACTGCTGCAACACAGCTCGTGCTCTTTGAAATCCGGAGTTTGCAAAGACACGCAGGTCGTGGGCACCGGAAAGCGGCAGCGGCAGGTGCTGCTGGAACAAAAAGAGGCATAGGAGGACGAGGCTGAGGGAGTTAGTTTTTTGCTCCCACCCCCAGACAATCCGCTGCCCTCAGCCTTCAGGCCGGACGCGGCGGCAGCAGCAGCTGCTGCCGCAGCTACGGGCAGTGGGCATGCGGTATCTCCATTTCACCTTGCTGCCTTTCAAATCCCTAGATACAAGCAAAAAGAGCAACAGAGCAGTGGCAACACTATGGATGGCGCTGCACGTAGAGGCTCCCCAACTAATAGAAAGGTGTATTTTAAGTCTCAAAAGCACACTAGTGGCAGCAGCAGCAGCAGCAGCAGAAGCAGCAGGCTTGATAGTGGGCGGAATTTCGGTGCCTTGTTAAGGACGATACAGCACGGCACTGCTGGTTTGCTGAGGATGATTGCAACGTTGAGTAATGGCCGTGCGATATACGTAGATGAGGGGCTCTTCTTCTACGCGCATATGGTGCTTTATCACAGGACGGATGCAGTTTGCCCCAGTAAGGTGGTCTATTCCTTCGGCATCTTCTTCATGGTCGCGACCATCGAACAAAACTTTACGGATGGACCCGGATACAGCACCGATGAAACGGTCTGTTAACAGGCTGCAATGACAAGGCGTTAAAGACGGCGCCAATCGCGAGCGGTGGCCCCCTCACGCTTTGTACATCCTTTTTGTATCTCGGCTTTAAGTGTGCCCCGGCGGGTGTGCATCTGTCGGTTGCTGTTTACCATTCCCGCCAGTCTCATGTGCCTCTCTACATGCCAGTTACTGCCTTCGCCTTTTTGCTGTGCCGGACGTGCACTGACGTCCTGAAGCTGCTATAGCTAGTATTATTCCTGGGTGCCTTTGTAATTAACCGTTAACTTCGATTTTTAAGTTGCGCCTTGCCTCTGTGTTGCCGCCTGTGCCTGCTCTGTGTTTTGTTGGGCCCCTGAGTGTATACGTAGAAGTGTAACTATACCAGATATGTGTATGTGAGCACATATAAATGCATATGAAATATAGGCACATCCATGTCTATACTTAGATGTGCAGATCTGCGTGTCTCCTGCTGCATTTGCCCAGTAATCTGACTCCTTCGTAAATGCTCTTTGTTTTCGTTTCCTTTTGGCTGTTTCTCTTTGCTTCGACCCGTATGAGGAGTTTGAGTCTCTTTACATCTCTCTGTTTGCCGAACAGCTCCCTTATCCGCAAAAAGAGCAGCAGGAGCAATGGCAGCGTAGAACTGCAACGCCAACGCCTCCAAGTACATCGGAAGCTGCTACTCTTGGAGCACCGGAAGTAGCACGCGCGAGGCTAGCAGCAGTAGACTGCGGCACAGGAGCATGTCCTCGTCTGTGAACTCCGTCGTTGGGACCACCCTTCATCCAAACACAGTCATTTTCAGCAGATCCAACAGCAGGAACAGGAGATGGCGCATACGACGTCGTGTCCTTGTGGTATTCTCACCTTTCGCCATTCTTTTCAAGTTCATTTGGACGGTCGCGTGTCTTTGCACGTAAAGATGTCTGCTCTATTGGAAATTTTTACTTCAAAGTTGCCTCAACAAAGCCTACTTGATCAAGAAATGGGGCAGCGAGGATCGGGCCCGCCACGGAAATCCACATTGACGGTAAGGGCTAAGAGAGGGTTTAGAACGTTGGGTTTTGCAGCGGAGCTCTTTCCGTCGCCGCGTCCGCCTCGTGCAAAAACGAAGCGAAAACAACGCGCGCACCAGTGGGTGTGTAGTATATGCTGATGCACGCTTTCTAAGGGCCCCATTGGTGCTGCCTGTGCTGGCTCGTAGGAGTTTTGGACATGGTACTGTCCGATGGTGTCTACTTGTCCTTCCCAAAAGCAGCAGCAGTCCTCAGGAAGGCATCTGCGTATCGCAGACCACAGCTGTTGCCTCAGCCGCTTAAGCGACTGTCACGTGAGACGCAAGACATGCTGAACCAGATTGGGGCTGCTAGTGCTGCCACTCAGGAAGGGTCTTCCTCGAAGTTGGGGGAGCCAGGGGCAGAGAATAAAGGAGAAAGCCACACCAACAAGACTTTGAGATCCCCAAAATTTGATGGTGAAGGGTACTCGATGCAAGATCAGGAGCCTGCCCTCTCCGAAAGCCTTTTCAGCGGAAGCACAATCAGGCAGCATCTCGCTAAGCCACCGACAGAACCAGAGACAGTAGCACAGGCAACAGCTACGGTGAAGAGGTCGTGCAGAAATGTGCGCTCGACTAGTTCAGAATGGGGAGGACTGCCGGAAGGGCGCCCTGAGCTGTTGCTGCCATCCCAAGACTATGGCTTCCATCTGGCGTTCACCGCAGTCTGGATATCTCCCCATTGCGGGCCCGTTGGCCACGTGCAATCCGTTGCGGAGTCTTTAATAAAAGAGGACTCCCGTGCTACCCAGCCATTGTCAGTTGGCTGCAAGCCAACTCGGAGGCTCCTTGGCGCCCCAGGGCTTCCTGTGTGCGCTCCGATTCTTTCGCCTTCCCTTCCAACGCATTTCCAGTGGCATCATCTCCACCTGTTGCATGGGCTTTCCTCGATGGGCTCCCCTTTATAGACCAGCTAGGGAGGGGACCCTGGTCGAACGTACGAAGAACCCTGCATTCCAGCAGTAGCTCCCCCCTCATTACTCCTGACTCGTCGGGTGATCGGGCTGCCTCTTCAGTAGGGAGCCTTCCCGATGGGTCAGATGAGAAAAACTGTCAATCACCAGAGAGCCTCCTCTCTCGCACAGACTTTACAGCATCCTAGACAGGCCCCAAAGTTTAGGGGTCGTCTCGCTGGGGGACCACGCCACGGAGAAGCCTCCCCTTGCACGACCCCCCGACACAGTTGATTTATTGGGGATAACAATGATGCCACACGAGCTTGATGCTCCTATCTTGCATATTGAAGCATCTCATAGCTGCCCCATATTAGCATCACCATATGGCGGAGGCTCTCCAGTTCTGAGATCACCTAACAATGAAGGCGTACGCAGGTGCTCGGGCCCTATGGCTTTCGTAAAATGCCCTCGTTGGGATGAGCCCAACATAAGCCTCCGACGAAAAAAAGTAACGGAGGCCCCTCTGGCCCCCAATTCGGTCAAGCAGTTACAGATAGTGCAATGAGAGTATCAGCAGCAGCAGGTGCGACGTAAGTACCCGCACTGCCGCCTCAACTTGAAGCTTCCCCTTTTATCTTGCCCCTGTCATCTAGTGGTAGAGTCTTCTTGCCACCCAGTTACAGAATCCCACCTCCAAAAACCGTGTGGCTATTTAGGGTCCCCAAAAGGGCCCCCAAAGCTTTGCCTTCTAGGCCCCATGAGGAGCCCTCAGGCGAGGGACCTCTCTCGGCCGAGTTCGTATCTCCTTCGATACTTCCGTCAGTTGGGGGGGCCCTATGTTCATGCTACCCCACGGGCCTAAAGGAAGGCCTGAGGGGCCCTCTTGCATTCAAGATCTCAACAGAAGCCCTCTTCTGCGCTAACAAGTGGTTTTGTCAGCCCTATTAGCAGCAGCGTCGCCGCAGCTTTCTTATGTTTTTTTGTGAGTGGAGGGCCCCTGAGTCACCGTTCGTAGCAGTAAAAAACTCTACGACCAGCCATGTGCCTTTTTTGTGAAAGAATGTATCGAAAATATTACCCCTGAAAAGGGGAGATCGCCATCCGTTCCTTTTCTCGTAACATGTTGACTACGGGTTCACTGACTCCGTTCCTTTATTGTGTCTGTGAATAGAATGCGCTGCCTTTTCCTGGACAGGTCCAAGCGGAAGTGACAGGCTGTCTGCCCGTCACCGCAGTTAGCTATTGTGCATTGATACGCTAGTCAGATGTTTTTGAATGACGGAGAGAGCAGTCTCTTCGGCATCTTTGTCCGCTTTCTCAGCAGCATGGAACCGTCAGGACTCGCGTTGTGTTTTTATCGATGCCCTATCTAGGTGAATCTTGATTATAGTTTTCAAGCTGTTCGTAATGTGCCTAGAAAACTCCCCGCAGTAGACCCTGGAGACCTAGTTGACCGTCCTACTCCCCAGAGTCAAACCGAAGTTCCGAGGAGCCTAGTAAAAAATCTCTTTTGGCTTACTGAGAGCCAACCATAAGGACAGTTTGGTTACCTGAAACGGAAATGTCTGACATTTCTCTCGAAGCGTGTTTCACACAAAAAGATGGAGGCCCTTTTTCTGGAGCGAACCAAACTCAAGAGAAGCCCACGCATCAACAACCCACAGACATTTGGCAAAACAGATACAGTTTAGAAAGCTTTCTACTGCATTCTCATCTTAGAGGCCTCCAGCGCTGGCCTCCTCCGATGGGGGTGCTAACAAAAGGTCAATAAAGTACGGGCCTACGGGGACTTCCTTTTGCAGTGTAAAACCCCGAGGGGTCCCCAGAAGCCCCGTGTGGGACACTCCCAGAGAGTCACTAAGGTCTTCCAGCGCAGCTGCTACCTCGCGTTGGAACTGAGAAATTGAGGGACTGCCTCCAATGAACTTAAACTGCTGTGGACCCTCAAGGGCGGCTTCAAGGTGTGACAGTAGCGCCAGTCGCTGGCGCTGCTGGGAACCTGCTGCTTCCGCTTGTGCTGCTGTACTCTGTTGTCCTTCCTCTGACAGCAGAAGCTGACCCTCATGCTGGAGCAGCAGCCGCTGCTGCTCCAGCCGTGCAAGGAAAGCCTCTATTGGCTGCACCTGAGGCCCACCAGCAGCTCCCCATAGCGAAGGGCTTGTGGACAGCAAGAGCAAGACCAGCAGATGTCTTAGCGAGTTGAGCGGCAGCAAGCCGAGGAAACGGTGAATGGGAAGGCATACCCCAATGGGTTTTCTATGCTGCAATAACCAAGTCCGGCGACGGCCTACGGATCCTTGCTGCTGCTGCTCTTGCTGCTGCTGTGAATCCTGCTCGGGTAGAGAGCCAGCAGCTGCCGCCGTCGACTCTGCTACAGCACTTACAGGGAGAGCCCTGAGCAGGTAGCACAAGCTTAAGGAGGCAGTAAGGGTCTGCCTACACAGACGGGCAGCACCAGCTCCCGTGACAGAAGGTGGTATGAGGGGCTCTCTAGTAGCCCTCCTTGCAGTGACGTCTTTTGGAGGGATATTCCCATGGCTACTACGAACGTCAAAGAAGGCTGAAAGAGTGCCTCCTCTCAGGTTGGGAGGTGCAAATTGATGCTCCCATAAGGACATGAGGCCTGCTGCCGTGGCTTCTAAAGCCCTTGCAAGGGCCCCCAGAGCCCGCCAGTGCACAGGGCCTCCACCGCACCCTCTATTGGTGCAACAGCTCTCTTCTTTGACGACACTCCCCTGCTGCAGCTGCTGTGGGGGCGGTGCATGCAAAAGCAGCCCCAAAAGGAGACTGGGGAGGGCTAAGACAGACAGCCCGTCTAGCTGCGACCTGGGGAGACCTCCGCTTGACATTGGAGCAGACCCCCAACAGGGCTTGCCTTTGGTCGATGCCTTCACACTACCTTCAAGGAAGTTCCACCCCACTGAAGGGCCCCAAACGGCCGGTAGAGCTGACAGAGGGGGAAAATATGGGAGACACAACGCCAAAGCATCAAGATTTTCCGCAGGGACCTCATTGCTTTCCCCAGCATCTGTCGCTGCTGTTGATGCTGAGTCTCTCCTCTCTGATGTTGTTCCAGTCCCCATCCAAGATTCTGTTCTCGGGGTGCCTACCATAGCTGTCAGGTGGCCAAGCCATCTGGGAGCTGGTGGGGGAGCCCCTGACGTTGCTGCGGCAAGCAGCAGCTGCAGCAGCTGCCGTCTGCTGCAACGAGAAAAGTCCCTTATATACGCGCGGGGGGCCCGGTTGGCGACCGCTGGATCTCGCCCTCTGGCGATTCCCTCCTGTTGCAGCATAAAGCGCACCAAGCGCCGCTGACGCTTTGGAGAATGCAGCATCCAACCCACATAACGGGATTCCCATGATTCTAAAAGGGCCCCCGATAAACGGCCCTCTTCTATTTCAAGCGGATCCAGAGCCCCATCTGCTGCTGCAATGCTTGCCATGGACCTCTGCGCTGCCGCTGCAGCAGCAGCTGCTGTCTCTGCAAAGACAGCAGCTGCTGCTGCAGGCATCTTGCTGCTGGTGCTGCTGTTGCGCCTTCCAGCACCTCCTTTAGGTCCACGGGGGCCTCTGAGCGCTTGTCGCGCCGAAACAGGAAAGTCACTCTTGGACGACTTCTGGAAGGCACCCCAGGAGCTCCCAGGTGGCGAATAATGGGCAAACACGAAGCGAAAGAAGGGAGGAGCTGCCGCCTCCAGCTGCCTCAGGGCCCCTGCGAGTTCGCAGATGCCAGCAGAAGGCCACAAATCCAACAGGCACGAGACGTTGAGCCCCCCCTTGGTAGGGACGCCCTCTTCGTCAGCAGTTGCTGGAGACCCCTTTCGGGGCGGAGAACAATTGCATCCTAGGCCATCTAGCTCAACCCTTCCAAGGCCTTGCACAGCTTGAGCGCTCCCCAGCGGCATGATGAGACCATAACATATGCCAGAAAGAAGACCACTGTGGCTAAACTTCCCCGCAACAAAAGCCCGCAGCAGCACCAGCGGCAACAAAGCCACTGCTGCCGGTGTTGGGGCCCCCGGACGTCCCATATGGGCCCCTGGCAGAACCGCCAATACTTCCTCCCCGAAGAGCTGCTGCGGGGGATTCTGGAGGGGGTCTGGCACGCGGTATCTCGTGGAGGCCTTCTGAGGCCTCTCGTTAGGGTCTTTTACACAGGCAGTGGGTGCAATTCTTGGGGGCCCCATCAGGAACTCGGGAACTGTTGACAGCAGGGCTTCCCGACGCTGCAGAAGGGCGTCAGACACTAGAGATAAACCCTGAGACGCATCAAGCATGATCAATGCGCTGCACTGCAATCCCTCAGCCCTAAGCCTTCATTCCTGAGCGTGCTGAAGTGCGATTGGGGCTTACTAGGAAAAAAGGACCTTGAGGACCCTTGGCGGGGCCCCCCGCGGCGCGAGCCCCTGCAAGGACTGAAGCAGCAAACACAAGGCGTTCTACTTCAACCCCTTCTTCCGCATCCTCCTGCTGCTGCTGCACCTCAGCAGAAGAGCCAAAACAGCCCGTTTGCCGGATAATGGGGGCCCTTACAGGAGCTCCCCAATCTCCTTGAGACTCCCATATTTGCTTCTCTAGCAGATGGACTAGCGCCAGAGGAGTTCCCAGGTGTGGAATGGGAGGCCTTCCATGGAGACACTTCTCCTCTGAAAACGCCCCTGCCATCAGACCCTCTGTAGGCCCCTTAAAAGCAGCGAGAAGCTGAAGCAGGCCCTGGAGAGATATTCGTCCTCCTAAAAGGAGGGAACGCGCTTTCACCAGGCCTGTGGGGGCCCCTCCCCTGCCCACCCAACAAACACGGTTCAAGGCCTCCCATAAGGATCCTGTAAGAGCTTCTGGAGGCAAACGGGGCCTCTGCGGGTCCCCCAAGGACAGCAACAACACAGCACCAACCACCTCTTGATATATGCCTCGCAATTGGAGACCCCATTCTGGCATACAGGGGGAGGCCCCTGTATGGAGACAGTCCTCCTTGCAGTTCTCGTCACCGCTGCCACCTAAGCTTTTGCTCGAGTCACGGCCTTCACAGGCAGCAGGAGGGGCCTTTGGAGGCCCCTCCAGGCAGTGCGTCTCGGGTCCCTGTGCTGCTCTCATATCACATAGAAGGAGCAGGCCCTTTCTGAGGTCCTCAAACCCCCCTGCCACGGCGACGAGTTCTCTGACTGAGAAAGGGGCCCCCCTCAACCCCGTATAGAGGCATCCTCCATGCCTACTGGGGCCCCTAAGAGCGCACCGCAAGGCTGCGAGAAGAGCAGAGAGCGTCCTGTGGCTAAGTTGTAGCATTTCCACAAGGGGCCCACTCTGGTGGACTGTGGGGTCACCACTGCCTTTAAATAGGAGTCCAGGCTCATTGCATCCATCTGCATGGGACTGGAAAGCATAGGCAGCAGGAGTTCGAGAGCGATTATAGGATGGAGAGGCGCCGAGCTCATCAGCGAGAGCTCCAATCGCAGTGGAGAGTCGGATATTAGTTCTTAGCAAGGGTCGCACCAAAGGAAGCGCAATGTGGGGTGGGGGGAGTCCCACCAGAGGAAACTCGAATCCCCATGTGAAGTTGAAGGAAGCAGCAGCAGCTGCTGCTGCTGTTTGGCCCCAGAAATAGGGACAGCTGCTGCAACCTCTTGCTGCTGCTCTCTCTGCTGCACTCACAAGAAGCATTATATCCACTGCAGGGGGCCCAACTGCCTGTGCAGCTCTACCGGAAAGCATCCTGGGAGCCGCCGAGTGGTTTTTAGCTTCAGCGGATATCCGGGGGGAGGTGAGGAGACGAGAGGGCCCTCCACTAGCAAGCAGCTCCGGGGGGTCACTCAAGGAGTCTGGGACAGCGCATGACCAACAGTAGCAGCAACAACTGGGGGGTCTGTCATCCCCAGGGGCCCCCTGCAGCTCTTCGTGAGTGTCTGATCCCACCGCTGTAGTGTACAGGGCTGCTGCGCTCGGACTGTTCGAAATGGGGGGCCCTCTCGAGCATCCCTTATTCGGATACCCCCCAACATAGCCGCGGCCAGGTTGAAGAATCCACCATGCCGCTTTTCGCATATTCCACAAGAAAGCCATAGAAACTCTTCGGGGGGTCCCCCTGGGGAACTTCAAGGAGCCCTTAAGGCAAGTGGAGAGCATGATGGAAGCTGCCATAGTTGCTAGAGAACGAACAGGCTCCACACGCGGGGGCCCCCGTCAGAGGGGGCCCCATGTCCTCTGTAGACCACTCACAAGATACTTAGGGGACCCCCAAGGGGCCCTCCAAGTATTTTTGCCTCTCACCTAGGGCCCCCAGGAGGGCCCTTTCAAGCCAGGTAAGGAAAGGAGCCAGGGGGTTTAAGAGCAAGGTTGGCTCCATAATAGCACTGTATTCAAAGTCATATGAAGTCTGCTGTGCTAGTATTCACAGCTAGTTGTCGCAAGGAACCACGGGGAATCCCTGGAGCTTGCCAGGGGGCCCCTCGAGGAGGTCCCCTCTCGGGTGCACGCTTCCCGAGCAGCCTTGGGCCCCCCACGGCGGGACAGCAAACCACGAAATAGGGGTTTCTCTGGTTTGTTGGCCACGATTCATATTTAGAAAGGCAAACCTTTGATTATGTCTTCTGCATTTATCACACTCTTTAGCTTAGAACCTCTGGGAGCCAAGGCTTCCTACTGGTACTGCCTCGTTGCCTTGTCTCCGGAGATTCCACGAGGCCTCGGGCCTCGTGGGGCCCACCACCCCTCGGAAGCCCCCAACTCTGTTTCTTTGTGCGTTGAGACTCGCGAGACACAGAGGTAAGAGGAGTTGCGCATCATGCCGGCTGCCTGCCTCTGATCCTCAGGACTGGATGCCGCTGTGTTTGCTGCAGTTGATGCTTCGTGTGTGCCTGCCCCCCGTCAACCCCTGTGCAATTCTTCGGATCTGCCCCAGGGCCCCTCTCAGCCTTGCAGGGCTCTTCGGGTTTAGGGGTGAGAGTGTCTTGCATGCTCTTGGGAAACATGAGTGCCCGGGGGCCTTCTCCAGTGACTGTCTCCTTAGGAGCCCTGGTGGTGTGCGTGGGGGCCCTTTGCTTGTGTCTCTCCTCGGATGCCCTACCTTTGCCTCCTTCTCCTGGCAGACGAGCAGTCCGTGGCATTTTCGCTCCTCGAATTCCTTTGGGGGCACTGAGTCCCAAGACACCCATTTTTCCCGAGGATGCCATTAAGCGTTGGGTGGGTGCTCTTCGAGGGGGGGGCCTCTTTGGGGGCTCCGCTGGTCCTAAGAAGGACGGCGGGGGCCCCCCTAGTGGACCCTCTCAGGGGGGAGGATCTCCCAGCTCAGCCCCTCTGAAGGCCCCAAACTTGTTGACCCTTGGAGCCCCGCACTCGTCTGACGTAGCCGCAGTGTATGTACACCCCAAGAGGGCGCGGTCCTTGGGGCTGCAACCAGGGGTCCCTCTGGAGCTGCGAGGCCGGCGAAAACGCCAAACTGCCGGAGTGTTGATTGAGGATTCGGCGCTTGCGGAAGATCTAATTTCGGTCCATCCACGAGTTTGCAGACAACTCAAGCTGGTGGAAGGAGACCTTCTGCTCATCAACAGGCTGCAAAGTCTGCCTCCAGCTGCTAATGTATACATCCAGGTCTTTCGCGACTCTCTACCCCCAGCAGGGGTTGCGGGAGCTGGGAGGGGAGGCCCTGCGGAGCCTCGGCAGGGAGCGGGGTCTCTAAGAGGCCCCCTCGTTGATGAGGCCATGCAGAGGGCTGTGGACTGGTTCTTCCGTTCTCGCGCGCGTCCTATCCGCGTGGGAGATCAGTATAAGGTCCCTGTGCCGCTACAACAAGGCCCCAGGAGGGAATCTCAAAGAGCTCCTGGGGAGTCCCCCGACAAAGGCCCCGTAGAGGAGATCGAGGTCAAGGTGATGCGGCTAGATGCAGACACGGAGAAGGATATAGAGTTTGGGTTGGTTGGAGAAGGCTCCGAAATTTTTACTGGGGAAGAGACTCTGGAGAGGGGTAAATTCAGACTCCGATGCCACGCAGGCGGAGTCTGTGTTAAGGCGCGATATCCGTTTCGTCTCTTCAGACACCCTCTACCTCTATGTGGCCCTGCCCGTGAAGCCCCTATTCGGGCTGTCATGTGCCACCTTTCTGGCTCCCTTCACAGTCGCTCTAAGAAGACTCCTCGCTATGCGTGTCGAATCAGAGCTTCTTTCCTTCCTCCAGCCCTTTCCGTTGCTCAGGACATAAGTACATGGCGGGAACGGGCTCCCTACTGTCGCTACCTCTGTGCATTGGCCTTAGAGTTTGAGGCATGTGTGCAGACGCCTTTGACTCCGCGAGCGAGGTGACCTATGATGACCTTGGGGGCCTCCGTCGGGAAATTCAGCTCTTGCGGGAGTCTGTGGAGTTGCCTCTGAGGTTTCCCCATATCTTCAAACAAGTGCGTCTGCACGATGGCTCTGTACAATCCCCGCTGAGATTTCTATGAGCAGAGCTTTTGCCCCCTCCTCCGTCCGCCTGGTGTTGCTGCTGTGCCGCCTTGGTATTGATGTATAGGTGTCCTTGAAAGAAGGTGCCGAGAGTTTTGTGTGTGCCTCTTCTTGCGGTGGCTCTTACTCCCTCGTAGTTCTGCACTTTGGGGGAAAGATATGCAGAGCGGCGCATGCTGTGTATATTTTGTGTACTCTCACGGGCGATGCCATACATCTGGAAAAGCTGCGAATGGGGGCGGGAGAGACAACGAAAGCGCTTCTTCATGTTAGCTGTGTGGGCTCTTCTAGAGTTTCTGGACTGCACGCTCTGGCGCGTAACTGTCCTCCCAGCATGACGGTGTCTCCCTCCGGCCTCCGCTGCTCCGGAGCTGTGTATAGCATACAAGGAGAGACCGCCTGGTGAAAGGCAGACCAACGTGTTATGCATTTTGGAGGTAGAGGCACAATGAACGCAGCCAGTTCGGCACATCCTGTGCAACCTCGTGTTTATGCTAGAGGTGGACTATGTTTCTGCGACGCAGATGGGGATAGCAACCCCTCGAGGAGTTCTTCTGCACGGGGCTTCGGGCGTAGGCAAGACGCTTCTCGCGAGGGCAGTGGCCACGGAGTGTGGCGCCAACTTTATCGTATTGAACGGCCCGGAAGTCATGGTCCGACTGAAAGTTTACCCTCTGCCGATCGTTCTCCGTGTCTGCCCTTGATTCTCTCTCTTTCTCACTGTCTTTCCCCATCGCGCGCATTTACTTTGTCTGTCCCCCTCTGTCTCGCTCTCTCTCCCTCTCTGTCTCTATATATGTATACATGTCTATCTCGCTCTGCTTCTCTCTCCGTCTATCTATGTTTGTCTCTCTCACGCTCCCTCTCGCGCTCTTTCTTGTATGCCTTTTCTCGCCCTCCCTTGCGTTTAACTCGGTCTCCCCCTATGCTGCTAAGCCTCCATCCCACCGCTGTGGCTCCGCCACATTGTGAACAAGGCGGAGACCCCAAGACTATCCCCACCTCGAGCTGCTTCCGCTTGCGCATCTGTCGTAGCAGCAGCGTCTGTGCATCTGCTGCTTCTCAACCATGTGGCGTGCTGCGGCTGCTTCAGTCGCGTATGGCTGGCGAAACCGAGGCAAACTTACGTCGAGTCTTCGAGGAGGCCGCATCCCTCTCACCGTGTCTTGTCTTCATTGATGAAATCGATTCTATTGCAACCAAGAGAGAGAAGACTCAGGGAGAGATGGAAAAGCGCCTTGTTGCGCAGGTCACACACACACACACACACACACACACACACACACACGCCTGGGGTGTATCCCGAGTTTCCCACACCCTTAGGGGGTACGCTCAACATTAGCATGCACACATGTATGTACGCCCTCTTTTTCTGCCATTTTATGCAATTCGTCAAGTCGTGCAGCGCCCCCTTTCAATCACGATGATCTCATTCGTCTCGTCTGGCCGTTGTTGCCCGTAGCTCTTCAGCTGTAGAGCTCTATGTGTGTATGACACTGCGTCTTGTTGCTAGAAGTCTAGCTTAGCACGTGCGAAGGCTTCTGACCTGTGTGTTGGCCCTATTCTCCTGTGTGCCCTTCCTTTATGTTCTTTTTTCATACTGATACTGTTGCTGCAGCTGCTGACACTTATGGATGGCATTGGATCCAACAAGAATGTGGTTGTTTTGGCTGCTACTAATCGCCCGAATCAGCTGGACCCTGCCCTTCGCCGGTTAGCTGCAGCCCAACACACCCCTGCCTCTGTGCTGCTGCTGCCTTTGCTGCGATCGTCACGCTTGCTGCCATAGGAGACCCTCATCCTAAGATCCTACTACCGGAATTGCTGTTGCACACGCACCCGTGTGACTGGCTCTGTCCAGTGGTGTGGCCCCTTTGTTGGTGGCTCATCTGACGACAGAGGGTCTGTGTGGAGCAGATGGGGATGTTTACATCCCTTCAGACGCTGCTGCCTCACCTGTCTCTGCTGCTTCATTTGCTGCTGCTGCTGCTGCTCCTTAGGTTTGGCCGCTTTGACCGCGAGATAGAAGTGCCCGTGCCCGACGTTTCGGGCCGCTACGAGATCTTGAAAAAGAAGACTCAAAAGATGCGGCTCAAGTCAGATGTCGATCTGCAGCGCATTGCTGCTGACGCGCATGGATTCGTGGGGGCAGACCTGGCACAGCTCTGCCTTGAGGCTGCCCTCCTCTGTCTTAAGGAGCAAGTGCAGAACATTGATTTCGATAAAGACGCAGTGGACCCGGAAGTGAGGGGAGAACCTGATGACAAGCACTCTGCTGCACCATTTCTGCGCCCGCTATATCACTATATCTGTTGTGGATTCCTCTCACCTATTTCTGTCTGTGTCTGTCTAGCTGTCTCTCGCCTTGTCACCGTGTAGCCGTCTGCTGACTAGGTGTCATGTAGTGTTTTTCCTGAGGCTTCAGGTGTTACAGCGCCTTGAGGTAGGCCAGCAGCATTTCATCTCAGCTCTCGCGGCCGTGAACCCCAGTGCGCTTAGAGAACGCCATGTGGAGGTACCCAACGTTCGCTGGGAAGACATTGGGGGTCTCGAAGATGTCAAGAGGGAGCTAAAGGAAACAGGTCCGAAGCCTCATAGCAGCTTGAGCTGGCAGCGAGAGACAGATAAGGATTTGGGAAGAGTCGGGAGGGCAGCAGTCGGTAGAGAGGCAGATGCGCAGCAGGACGAAGGAATACAAACGGAGATTAGAGATGCAGCCGAATAGCGAGATGAGAGCCAGTGAAGCAATAGAGACAAATGCATATACGCAGTGACACTTGGTCAGGAGCAACGGCACCATGAGCCAAGAAGATGCGGGGGAGATGAGGAGCATGTGTAGAATCAGACACAGGGGTGTAGGTCAATGCTTGCTCTACCTTTATAGGGGCAAATATGGAAACCGCCAACAGTTACATAGACACACAGATATTCCACGTCGAGGCCGAAGCCAAGTCACACGGGGGAAGGGCCGAACATTGTGCTGACCCGTAACACCCTTTTTGTGTGCTTCACAACTGTAGTTTGCTAATTTCGCTGTTATGGCTGGTGCAGTTCAATATCCAGTCGAACATGCAACGAAGTTCCGTGAGTTTGGACTTCAACCCTCGAGAGGAGTCTTGTTTTACGGGCCCCCGGGATGTGGGAAGACGCTGCTGGCTAAAGCTGTAGCCAACGAGTGTAAGGCGAACTTTATATCGGTGAGTCCATCGGTCCCCATGCCTCTGTTCTTCCTTCCTTGGCTTTGAGGGTGAATCTTGGTACTTTGCCTTCTGAGCCAGAGTAGATGTCGAACAGCTGCAGTCTCAGCTGCCTTCGCTGTGACCAGAATACTTTGCATGTGCAGCGGGCCTCACCTACCATGATACCCCGTCAGGATGACAGTTGCACGAGTTCTTTTTGATATATATCTGGCTGCAATGGCTGCATGCAAACTCGTAGCAGGGCAATTCGTTGTTTGCAGTAGTGTTCGAGCTCTGTGGCTGCAGGTGAAGGGGCCCGAGCTGCTGACAATGTGGTTTGGAGAGTCAGAGGCGAACGTCAGGGACCTCTTTGATAGAGCAAGGTAGACGGATGCCCACAAGTGCTGCTGCTCTTGCTGCCTCTTCTGAGCGGGGTTGCAGGCGTGTCTTGGGGGTTGAAAGTGACGATTGACTCTGCCTACACTCTCAGTTTTTTAGTTCTGTGCGGCGTACGGTTGAAAGCCCCTGTGTGTCATGTTTCCGTCCTGCTGGGTACTGTGTGCTTCGCCACTCCGCAGAGCAGCTGCTCCCTGTATTATCTTTTTTGATGAAATCGATTCTATTGCGAAAACCAGAGGAAGCGGCGGAGGTCTGACAGCACCACAACGGATATCGGGGTAGCCAGAGGGAAACAAGGGCGGGGAGAAGGAGACAGCAAAAAGCAGAGAGAGAGAAAGAGGCAGCGGTAGAGATTCTGGATGCTTAAGCACACATCGAAACACGGGAAGTAGGAGCTACTGGTGTTTGTGACACGAGCTGGGTACAATTAAAGCGGCTAAGCTGTTATGGGGTATGTAGTAAAGTTAGGCTCCCTCCTGACATAGCTGGAGGTGCGACTTGGGAGATGTCGAGATGCATGCAGAGTCTTGGGTCTATGGTGTAATGTGCTGATGCCGCAGGAGGCTCTGGCAGCGAAGCATCAGATCGCGTAATAAATCAAATTCTTACCGAGATCGATGGAATCGGCAAACAAAAGCAAATCTTCATTATTGGTGCCACCAACAGGTGGGAACCCCCCCTACCCCCTTACCGCTATCTTTCCGTCCAGGCATAGTTTGAATCCTACGCTGAACAAGTGGTCCCGCGGTAGACACCACCCATGATGCAGAGCGACCACAGAAGCAACCTGACAGAGTCGGCTGCAAGGACAAAAGAGAACGCTAGGAGAGCAGAGGGAAATGGGGAGCAGCACCATCCGGGGAGGCAGACCTAAGAGCAACAGCAGCAACACGACCGAGGCGGCACGTGAAAACATCGATTATGAGCGCCCAATATCGTGATCTCTATTGGTATGTTTAACTCGCGCAGTCTCTCACAATGTTTTGTGTACTCAACCCATCTGGATCTTCAGGCCAGACATCCTGGACCCCGCGGTGACTCGCCCTGGCCGACTGGATCAGCTCTTGTATATTCCACTGCCGGACCAGAAAAGCCGCGAGAGCATATTTAAGGCGAATCTCAGGAAGACTCCGATTTCCAAAGACGTTAGCATCGAAGCACTCGCCAAACGTACTGAAGGATTCTCTGGTGAGCATGAGCCCCCACCCACGGATTTGACAATGAACACTGTCCACTAAAAGGGTGGCAGTAGAGCACACGTGGTTTCTCAAAGAGCGAAAGAGGGGAAAGGCCAGAAGCAGAGAGCGGAATAACTAAGTAGATGTACATTCAGTAATAGGATGGAGAAATGGGCAGGGTCAGTCACAGTGCCGAAGTGGTTTTCGTACTGACACAAACGGGCGCAGAGCACGAGGAAGCAGCCATGTTGGAGGCAGCCGAAAGGTGTATTTGTGCGTGTTGTTCGGCTTAGGAGCGGACATAACTGAGCTGTGCCAGCGAGCCGCCAAGTTTGCAATACGCGAGAGCATCGAGGCCGAAGCCGCGGGGAAGAAGGAGGCTGTTAGGCAACTTGAGAAGAGGCATTTCGACCTTGCTGCTAAAGACGCAAGGTCCGTCAATCGCCCATAGCAGCATTAGAGGTACCGCAGCAGCAAAAGGCACACATGCTCTGATAGGGTGAAGTTCTGGTGTTGTTTGCTTATTTTGTTTGTTGCAGGCGTTCTGTGTCGCCGCATGTTGTCACGGCCTATGAAGAATTTAGGCGCAAATTGAGATCTGGCAGCGGCGAGGCAATGCCTTCGTCTTCGTCTATTTAGGACGAATCTATCTTCTGCTTCCTCTCTTCTGTTTTCTGGCTTCCTCATTCTAGCCAGAGAATATGCCTCCTGCCGATACAATGGCTTTGTCACTGCCTCTTACGTGTGGCGCTCTTGCTCTCTGCCCTTCTAGTTTTGTTTCTGCCCTTCTCTTTCGCTTGGTAAGCTAAATGGGGTTGCCATGTGGCCCTCCTTCCCCCGCTGTGGCAAGCGGAAAATAATTTTAGGCAGCTCAGAGCTGGCTCTGTGTGCTCGTAGCTATCACCAAGCTACATGTTCCAAAACGTGTTTGGTTAGCATGCATTGCAGCTAGCCAGGTAGCTATTGAGTCAAGTGAACCACTCATGGGGCAAAACCTTTGATTATCTTGTCTGCTTTTCCTGACTGTGTCAAACTCAACGTTGCGAGTAGACACCGAATATAGCAAACAGCCGTCGCTAAACAGTCATTATAGCCTCACCAACGCAAGAGACTGCGGTAGAGCGGATTAGCAACGCCATGCTAACGGGTATGCACTACCGTTAGAGAGATCAGACTGCGATTCTTACAATTCTATCCTTTGTACACAAAGCTGCCATTGTGGTTCGCAACAGCACTCGATGTAGCTGTTTAATAGCCTTTGAGTATGTGCTGCGTTCGCCAGTATTGAAGGCGCTTTTTCACTTGGGTATAATCACTGAAAGACTGCAGAAACAGCAGCAAAAAACACCTCCTACTGTAACTCCTGACCTCGCAGAAGCACGACGCGTACCAACAACGTGTAGTTCTACGCTTGTAAAGGCCCCTGAAAGCCCCCTGCACAAACCCCCCTTCGACCGACAAGCCCCTTACTCCCAGGGTGCTCGACCATCCTCCTCCTGCTGGAACGGCAGATGCTGGTGTAGCAGCTGCTGCTGCACCCGTATTTGCTTCTGCAGCTGTTGCTGTTGCTGCTGCATGCGGCATAAATGCCCTTGTTCGGGAATGTGGGGTGTATAAGCACGCTGCTGCTGCTGTGAGCTGCTCAGCCCGCGCACGGGGCTCTGTAGAATATCCCCAACGCGGTGAAATCCTGGTTCCTGCTGCTGCCGGTGCATTGCTTGGATCAAAGCCGTTTCGTCCTCTTCGAATGTTTCAGTTCGGGACGGCTGCTGCTGCAGCGCTTGGTGCAGGTCTTGCTGTTGTTGGTGCTGATGCTGCATCAACTGCTGCTGCTGCTGCAACAAGCGCTGTAGGAGCAGCAGCTGCTGCAGGGACAGGGGCTGCTGCGGAGCACCACTAGCAGGCGGAGCCTGAAAGCCAGGCCCACTGCCGTCGGTGTCGTCTGAAAAGTCTCCCTGCTTGGAGGCTGAGGAAATATCTGCCGAAGCCTCTTCACGCCACGCCTCTGATGGGCGGCATGTATTGGGAAGGACGTTTGAGGCCTCCCTTCGCTGTCGTTGCCGTGGCTGCTGCTCAGCGGCAGCCCTGTAATTCCACGACTCCTGAGCCCCCGCATAAGACTCCTCAACGTGTTGGTGCGGCTTCGCCGCTGCAGAGGAAGCTCTGCCACATCCAGAGTCGGGGACGGGCCTCGCTGTGGGGAGCTCAGCGAACTGCTCCAGTGTCTTGACGCTGGGGTGCCCCTGCCTGCGGCTGCTTCGCCGTCGCTGCCGCTGCACGCCATCTTTCTGAAGGCGCTGCTGCTGCTTTCCGATCACCCGATGGCCGTAAAGCGGATGCCGATGCTGTCTGGTGCTGCTATCGCTGCTGCCGCTGTTTTCGCCACTGCCACTGCTGCTGCCAATGCTGCTTCTGCAGCTCTTACTGCTGCGGTAAATACTTCTCTCCGCGTAGGCCTCTGCATCGGGAGGCCCAAGGGGCCCCCAACAGGCTGCCCATCTTTCGCCGCTGTGGGGCCCTTGAGAACGTCTCCGGTAAGGACCTCCCAAGGGCGTTCGGGAGTTCACAGGAGCTCTGAGATCGCCGAGGCCTCCGTCGTGACGACGCGTGTTTCTGCTACGGGGAGCTAATGTTTGTTTAAAAAGGGCCCTTGTAAAGAAGTTGAGCTGGTTCGTCGCGAAGAGAACTCTGCCCGAGTTGAACTCGTAGAGCTTCTCCAGCCAGAAGTAGTAGGCTCCCTTCTCTTCGTCAGTAATGGGGCGAGGGCCGCAAGCCGCATGCATGGGCCCCCAAGGAGTATTTCCATAGCTTGCAAAGGCCCCAACGGCACCTCCGTTGGGGGCCCCTGGAACCCCACGCTTCAACTGGGTTAGGGACGCTGGTAGCTCCTGCATCAGATAGGGTTGCTGCTGCAACAAGTGCTCTTGGAATGCCTCGAGACCTGCAAGGAGGGCCACTGCGGAGGGGGGGGCCCCCCAGTGTATCATGGGCTTTATGGCCGTCCCTCCGGAGTAATAGCTCGTAGCGGGAACCATCGAGGCAAGCGCTGAAGAGGAGCCCCCTCCAGAGACGCATGGGGCCCCGTGCGTGCCCACGTCTGCAGCAAGAATTTTTTAAAAAGCACAAACACACACACACACACAAAGCTACACTGAAAACTGCGTGTTCTAGTTCACGTGAGTTCTCATGTTTCAACGCGGTCCTCTATTTTTCCCATAAAGGAGAGAGTGCGAAGTGAATCACAGTCTGAGAGCACGCTGAACTAAGCGGCAAGTGACACACAGAGAGACGGGTGAAGGGCCCCCCAATAGCCCGACACCAGCACGAAGGCAGCATGACCACAGCATTGGGAGCGACAAGGGGAGTAGCAGAGGAGAAAAGCTTTTGCTGGTGACAGCAAAAGAGATTGCTGGTCTCTGTGATCTTGCTTTCCAATCGAAAAGTTTTACGAAAGGCGCAAAGCCAGTTTGAAGAGATAAGAGACACCACAGACCCCGCGACATTCATTCAATGTGCGAAGAGCGAACTTGAGAGAAACAAACGCCAGCATCTTCCACTCACGCAAGACATTGCGAAGCGTATGAAGCTTCGGCAATTGGGAATAGAAGCGACGCACAAGGTGTTGAGGCGTCGCAACGGCCTTACAGGAATGAGCTCGCCATGGCTCTAGAAGCACGCGAAGGGCCGCCTATCACTTGCAGGTCTGTATAGATGATACCTCCGCTGAGTGTGCTACCTTGTGCATTGTCAGCTCACTTTTGGCGGATGCAGCCATTAAAGCCCTCGTGATCTTGCGAGATGCGAGGACGGACCAGAGAGGCGATGTATCATCGTGAGGCGCTGCAATCCTGTACGTCAGCAGGAAAGAAAGGGCGCTCTTCTCCAGCTTTCCGTTTGAGGGCATAAAGCGCTGCAGCAGCGGAATGTATGGGGGCCCCCCACGGGCCCCCGTGACTGTGGGTGCCAAGTGCCGCCACCTGGGGGCCTCACAAGGCGCATCAAGGCTTCCTATGCCGAGGAAGCGGTGATGACTGCGAGAGCGTGCAGTCCAACCTGCTGCCCCCTCATCATCTTCGCTGGGAAGGAGGGAGACTGAGACCCCTCGAGGAGGGGTTTTTTCCTCTTCTTCTTCCTCTTCTTCGCTCCTTTCCCGCCGCTCTGAGTCGTGCTGCAAGGGCAGATGCTGCTGCGAGTCGTGCCCCTGTCGCTCCAGTTGCGTCTGGCACGATTGCTGCTGCTTGTGCTGCTTCTGTTGAAGGAAGCGGTGCGGAGGGGCGTAGTCCGATGAACCATAGGCAGCAACATCAAGTCCTGAGAAGCAACAGAGGTCCCCGAGTGGCGTAGAGACTGTCGACGCGTAAATGCATTCCCAAATATCATCCGCTGCAGAAGGGAGGTAGAAACATAGCAGCAGAGGCGCCAGCAGGACTGCTGCGAGTTCATCCAGCATACAGGTAACCCGCAGGCTGTACAAGCTGCTGCACAGATCGCACATGGCCCGACGGTGCTGCTCAGACACAGAATGAAAAGCTCCGTGTTGTGCAGATTCGCAGCCTAGGAATAACGAGGCACCTTTGAGGCTGCTGCAGCAGCTGCTGCTGCTGTCGTTGGTGTTGGGTAGGGGGGTGTCGTGGCTGCTGTGGTTCTTGTGCTCCCTACTGCCCCCGCTAGAGCTACTCCGGTTCATCTGTACACGGCGAACATGCCACTGGCGCTGAACTTGTGGGCGTGCCTGCGGCTGGAGTTGGTGCATGGCCAAGGAGCCCCTGCTGCTGCTGCTGCTGTTGTTGTTGTAGGTGGTGGGGGTGGTGGTGCGGTTGAGGTTGTTGGTGTACTTGTGGTTGCTGTGGCTGTTCTTGCGCTGATGGTGGTGAGGGTTGTTGTCGTTGTTGTCGTAGCAGCTACAGCTATCCGTGCAGCCGCTACGACATCCTGTTTCGAGACGATGGCTATTGCTGCGGCCGGGGGCACTATGGATATGGGGTCCCTTCGTGTCCTCTTCCGTTTCTCCCATCAGCGGAGAGATGAAAGAAACCTTCCATGAGGCAGACGTCCACGAAGCCGGCAGAAAGTGAGTAAACGAAACTAGGCGCATGCAGTGTTGGTACAGCTGGAGGGGGGAGTGCTGCTGCCGTAGGGGAACAGCAGCAGACATGTCTGCAGCAGCAACCGCAGCAGCAGCCAGCAGCAGTGCTGATACATAAGTGTTGCTGCAGCTGCAGCAACACTTCCCACGGCGGCAGCATCATTCTTGTTCAGAAGGCGAAACGAATCAAGACACACGGGGACACCCAGAGAACCTGAAGCTCGTGATGAAGAGACAGACACAGAGAGGTTACAGCGAGAAGGAGTCTGCCCTGTACGAAAACTCCCAGCGACAAACCGCCACACAGAAACACCTCTCCATGACCATGGCCTAAACTGTGAACCCTTGAAACACACCTACGGCAACACCAGACGCTTCCTCCTCAACGGAGTTTCCAAGTCCATTTCTGCTAATGTGAGGCTGTAAGTCTGATGCGTTTGCGCGGTTGCGAGGGCCCCCCTGGCTGAGGGCTGCGTAGAGGAGGCCCAGAGCGAAAGTGATCCCCAGAAGGCCCCTTCCTCCCACTTTCCCCATGAGGAAAGCTGTGTCTTCGCAGATGTACAAGAGGAGGCAAACGGCGAGAAGTGCTCCAGTAATGTACTTTGCAGTGAGTTTGAGTCTGTACAGAGAGGGGTTCTTGGGGTGTAGCGACAGGTAGGCATCTGCTGCCTGCCCCGCGAGAGCCAACCTAATTACTAGCTGGTGGGGAAGCTCATTATATTCCCTCAGGCCCCAGAACGCCAGGCCCGTAAACTCTCGGCTGCTGAGAGAAAGCTGACTCTGCCTGAAAGCCTCCGTGTACTTAAGGAAAAAGAAGAAGATGGAGAATAACAAGAGAGGCAGCAACAACAAGAGATGCAAAAGGCCAAACAGCACAAACCTCTGTGCTAGATAATGACCTGCAGCCGTCCGGTAACGTGACCTGCAACGCGCCACACGCGAGACAAACAGAGACACCGGCACTAGCGATATGTTAGCATATCCAGGAGACATAGAGAGAGAGAGGGAGAAAGGCAGCAAACGTGTAGTTTGCACTTGCGAAGTGCCATGAGGACACCCAGCATAGCTGATGTGCTGGTGGAGCCACGCCTTCAAGTAAGGAAAGAAGGAAGATAGAGCTAGGGACCGACGAGCGAGATGAGGTGGCAGCATTAGGAGTAGGACATGCCTACGGGCAGAGCAGTGTACAATGACAAGAGATTCTTTAGTTGTTTAGATCGGCGCGCATTAATCTCACCCATAGGGAGGCATTTGCGTCAGGAGTTGCCTGTTGATTCTTTGTTTGGCGTCAAAGAGATCCAAGAAGACGGCTCTCCTGATGCTCCAGAGGAGCACGCGTGTATACAACAGTTTGGGATTAACATACACCGGGAGAGCTCTGACGAACACCTCTTTGTTTGTGAGGGCAATGATGTAGTTATCCCTCCGCATGATGACAGCAACGAGGTCCAGCACAGACAAGTTCTGTTTCACTAGGCAGAAAGGGTGCTGCTGCTGCGCCTGCAGCAGCAGTGCTGCTACTTCTGGCCACCCCATGAGTTGCAGGGAGCTATCGCAGTGTATGTAGAGTCGAGAACGAAAATAAAGCCTGAGGGCTATCGCATCCCTGCACTTATTGAAAGCGGAAAGGATTGACAAGACCACCACGCAAGACAGGGATAGGACGTATACAGTACACAGGGTCTGCCGGAGGCCCCAAGGGGCCCACGGGGAAGGCCGGAGGAGCGGTTCAGCAGCGCAAGTTTCTGGAGTCGTACAGGAGACGATACCTTCCCAGTTGACGAACATTAGCAGAAACCAGCTAAAATATACCGTGAACCCCATAACCATCAGATGAGCTCCGTAGGAACACAACATTGCATACAACCCCCCTTCGGCCCAGTAAGTGTAGATTCCACCAACAAAACGATCCAAGTCTGGAACTGCATCCCAACTGGCTAAATCTCGATCTTCGGCTGTGCCGTCTCCCTCGAAGTGACAAGGAATCCCATCCCCTGCCTCTCGACGGCCCCTCAGCCCTGAGAATGCAGGTGAATCGCGTTCTGGGGAGTCACCGGAACCTTGAAGCTCCCCCCGGGAACTTCGGGGGCCCCCGGGTCCTACGGATATTCGCGAGGAGCCCTCTGGGGGCCCACAAATACCTTGCACATTCGGAGCGGCGAAGGAATGCGAGGGGGCAGCAGCAGCAACGTAACCCCAGCGACGCGAGGAGAGGAGAGGACGGACCAGCTCGGGGGGGGCCCTGGACCCGACGCATCTCATGAGGAATCGTCTGAGGTTCCCAGCAAGCCTGCCAAAGGCAACAGGCATCGTAGAGTGGGAGTTTCTTAGCTGTTGCACACCGCTCTCCATGTCATTGTGTGTGTCAAAAGAGGGCCCGCTGTGGAAGTCAGACTGCTCGCTGTCGTCTTGAGGATAGCGCTGGGGCCCCTTCATGAGGGGAGCCTCGAAGCCATTTCTTCCAGAAAAGCCAGCCACCGGGTTCTCCTCAGGGTGGGGCCCCCCAAGGGGAACAGAGAGCTCGATATTCCGGACGCCCCGAGTGCCACGAGGGCCCCCCATTCTGCCTGAACCCACGGCTGGACAGCGGTGCTCGACCGGAAGGAAGAAACGGAGTGGGAGAATGGTAGAGTGCTTGGGCAGTAGAAGGACCCTCGCGAAAGGGAGATGTGGTCTGCCCGAAGTTCGTGGGGACCACTGAAGAAAATACGAAAATACAAGGGAGCAAGAAAGGCGGAAAAGTCAGCCCTGGTGGTCAGCTGAGCCCGGTCCCATTCAAAGCTTAGTAAATGCATTTTGTAAATGGACGGCGAAATCTGTGGCATGCCTTGCACGCTCAATGACCGCTGGACCAACCATTCCACTATCCCAGAACAGGGGCTGCTGCAGCAATCCCGGGGCTGACAGCAGCATTATACGTGGTCTCTCTCCTATTTTTGTCTGCACATCAGATATGAAAGGAACTTCTCATCAAAGAGGGACTTTCCTAACCATAAACCTGTGTCTGCTCTACCCCGTACACGTCGCCGCAACCGAGTCACTCCCTTTGCTCGGCTCCCGCTGCAGCAGACAGCATGGAAATTAGATGCTATTTCTCTCTGTTTAGATCTGTTGCAAAAGATGCAGTAGGCAAATAGAAGCATATGTGTACACATTCGCATGCAAATTCTTTGCCAGATGTAAAACCCAAATAATGCCATTGTCATTTTGTGTGGGTGCTGCTTACATCCCATACCACCATTAATGCCAATTGTTGTGCTTTCTGAGGATCATAAATACTTTGGCATATTCGTATGGGGAATTCGCTAGCAGGCAGCGTCAGTAGTAATTCTCAGCTTCACCTCCCATGCAGCTATCCACATCGCTCCGTCGTCACCCATTCCACCGGTTTCTTCGGCATTGCCGCGATGAGGGGATCTTAAGCAGAGACGGGCTTCCGGCCCGACGATTATAAGCTACATACCCGCGCAAGTTTATATATATATATATGAAGACCTACTTGCTTGCAGAGCCTCCATGTGTATTCATGTGTACTTCAATGCGCACATACTTCTCCCTGTAAAGACATGACAGCAGTTTATGTTTCTCGACGTATATACAGATCCACGTGTGAAACTGAGCCTCCGTGGCCACGTGCCATGATATTGTGTACGGTGCAGCTCTTGCATATAGTACACCTGTAGCGGTGTGGAGCGGGCTGTGTCACACACCAGCACCATCTATCACACTTGATATATTTCGCTATGAAATACTAAAAAACCGACCGACTAATTTGCATGTTTGCACATCATGTTTAATTAAAAGTCCCCATGAGCTCCATTCAAAAAGACGCGATCTTGTTGCGTTTGCTGTAGATGCTGTGTGAAACTAGCTTTAGGTAGTCTGAGAGCGTAGAGGGTGCAACAAGGGACAGCCTAGCTGTCCCTCTACCCTCATCTCAGGACCTCTGCTAGACGCGGGCAGAGGAAGGAGTGAGGTCTATGGGAAAATACTAGAGTCAAGCGTGTCTCTTCGGAAACCCCAGATGGAACGGGATAGCTGGTTGCACTGCATCATTCGATACGGCTATGTTCTGCTCATTCAGGAGCCTTGGATGCTGCACGGTATCTGATTTGCCTCCAGCAGTTATCCGGTCGTAATCGGGCTAGGCTATTGGTTGATTTACCAGCTTGCTTTTCTTCGCGACAGGATGTGAGGCGGGAAAAGCGTCTGGCACTGGGAACTTGACGGTGGGGCAGCTTTTGCCAGGGCGGCTTAGCCTTACCAGCAAGCTGCTGTAAATGAACTAGCTCTACAACTGGTTTAAATGCATTAATTCTTAGCCGATTGAATTTGCATGGATATGTGGATGAGGTTACGCCAATTAGAAAAGCCTTGGGGCCGTCAGGATTGACGAGTACTCGAAGATTCTGTAAACCATTTGGAGATGTTCTGCGCTTTGAGCCCCTTAGATGAGCGCGTGCTCTGTGCAGCATGTTTATTGGAAAAAAAAAGAATTTTGTTAGTAACTCCCTTCACGTAGAGCAAGTAATCCAGTTGCGTGAATATCTACAGGGCAAGCCTTCGTACAAGCTTTGGATGATCGGCTTATGCCTAGAGTAGTGCAACCGCAAGAGTTGGGGGACCTGAAGAATTTTGAAGAAGGGGAATGTACCATAGACTGATAGATTTTAGAAATTGAAATTTCGGTTAACAAGCCACGAACTGGACGAATGGCTGCTTTAGCAGTGGCATATCCTGGATAAACTTGGAATGTTACGTCTGGCGATTGTGAGGTAAACACCGCCTGCTCAGCATTTAAGCAACCGACCGGTGGTGTTTTTATAAGGGATGTATACCTTGAGGTTCCAGAAGCAACTGATAACAACTCCTGCGCCTTGGTCAAAATGAAATTGCCAATTCAAGATGTAGAACGCATGAATGTTGAAGCCGTTTCAACCAGCCCATGTGTACAGTCTGCGGTGAACGAAAAATAAAGCGAGAGGGAACCCAAGCTCATACGCAGCCACGATGATCCCTCTACACAACGCACTTGTTTGTATTGTGAACATTTAAGTTAGCTAGTCCGGAATCACAAGAAACCTTGATCAATGAAAGTAAATAGATTAGAAACAGGCTACTTGGCGAGCAAAGAAGGCACATCAAGGTAACAGAGTGCATTCCATGCAGGCTACAGCGCAGTGAAGGAAGACATAGGAGATAAAGCCGTTATTGGGACCCACGGCTGGTCAGTTCTGCGCTGCGACAAGCTCGCATTGCCACCACATACTCACAAAAAATCAATTTCTCGGCTAAATGCTATTCCTCGTGCTTAATGATTTATAATACAACAGTACACTTGTCAACCCTTTACTCATCCGTATCCCTGGTCTGCATTGAGGACCCCGTGTCCTCTCTCAGCCTAAAAGTGGTGGTTGGAGGTCAAGAGTCACATTAGCCGCGGAGGGATTGGAAAACACAGAGTTGTGTATGTGCATGTATGCGCAAATCTCAAGAGAGGCAAGCAGAAGTGATGATGACCAGGGGTCAGCTGGTTTTTCGAGACTGGGAAGTCACTCCTGGTGGA